TGGTAGTCGATTTCAACATGCTTTGTTCGCGCATGGAAGACAGGGTTGGCTGTCAGATATGTAGCCCCAATATTGTCACACCACAGTATTGGACGTTGAGGAATAAAGATGCCAAGTTCACGCATTAGTGACTGTAGCAAGAGGGATTCAACTGTGGCATGAGCAACTGCTCTGTATTCAGCTTCAGTGCTTGAGCGCGCTACCGTCAGTTTCTTTTTGGAACTCCATGAGATTAAATTGTCACCAAAATAAATACAAAATCTAGAGGTTGACTTTCGATCATCGGGGCATCCTGCCCAGTCGGCATCGGAGTAAATAGACAACTGTGTGGATGAGCTAGGCCTGATGAGTAGACCAAAATTAATGGAGAATTTTAAATACCATAGAATTCTTTTCGCTGCTGTCAAATGTTCCTCAGTGGGTTTGTGCATGAATTGGCAGACCTTGTTCACTGCAAAAGAGATGTCGGATCGAGTCAAAGAGAGGTATTGTAAGGCTCCTACAACACTCCTATAATTGGTCGGATCAAAGTGTGATGCACCCGAAAATAAAGAGAGTTTCTCTGAGGAGGACATCGGGATGATACTGGTTTCGCATCAATAAACTTCGTGTGTTGAAGGAGGTTGTAAATATATTGACTTTGTGAAAACAGGAGTCCGTCAGCAACATAAATGGCTTTGATTCCCAGAAAATAGTTTAGGCTCCCTAAGTCTTTGACAGCAAATCCACTACTGAGATTGGTGATCAATTGAGTGATTACTTTGGAGCTGGAGCCAGTGATTAAGATATCGTTGACGTACACTAGGAGAAATAGTGTATCTGGGCCTTGTCTGTACATAAAGAGAGAGGAATCAGAGCTAGAGTTGACAAAGCCATTGTAGAGGAAGTGCTCTTGCTGTCGATGATACCACGCCCGTGGGGATTGTTTCAGCCCATAAGGTGCTTTGTGCAGTCGACAAATGTGGTTTGGAAAGTTAGGATGCACATAGCCGACGGGTTGATGCATAAATACCTCTTCGGTTAAGTATCCATGAAGGAAAGTGTTCTGGATGTCGATTCGATGAATATGCCATCGTTTGGAAATAGCACAACTGAGGACAAGTCTGATAGTGGTGGACTTGACCACTGGACTGAAAGTGTCGTCGAAATCAATCCCTTGTTGGTGATAGCCTTTCGCAACCAAACGGGCCTTCCTTCGCTCAAATGTGTCGTCCGACTTAAGTTTTGTTTTGAATATCCATCGGGAACCAATGATGTTCATGTCTGGTCTTGCAGGGATTAATGACCAGATGCCATTTTTCATAAGGGTAATGAACTCTTTGTGAATGGCATGATGCCATTCGTTAAGCCTCAGAGTATGAAGAAGGTGCTTCAGGGACAGAACCTGTAATAGCAAGAAAAGACTGTGGCAAAGGGTACCTGACTGTGCCATCCATGAGCTGTTTTGGTTTCACTATATTATTCTGAGACCGGGTGGTCATTTGATAAAGATGAGTTTCCGGGGGTGCATTAGCAATGACATTATCTAAAGACGGGTAAGATGGACACAGTTTCAGTAGTGGAGATGTGGGAGAAGTACATGTTATCTGGTGATGGAGACACGTTTTTCAGTGACAGGCGAAGGATGTGTATGGGATGAGGACTCGGAGGAAGAAGGGTCAGACAACGTCGTGTGATTTAAGTTGGTATGGGAGGTGTCGTTTGATGTGAGGGACGTCAAAATAGTATGTGGGGAGTTGCCGTTTATAGGAATGAAGAGTGGAAGATTGACAGTTGGGCTGGAAGATGGACTGAGCCCGATTGATTTATTTAGTGGGCTTGCAAAAGGGAAGATCTGTTCGTCGAAGATAACGTGCAGTGAGATAAAGATCTTGCCAGCGGAAATATCAAGACATTTGAACCCATGATGCATGTTACTGAAGCCAAGAAAAACATATTGTTTTGATCTGAAATCGAGTTTGTGACGATTAAACGGACGAAGGAAAGGATAACATGCACAACCAAATATTTTTAAAGATGAAAAGTCTGGAGCATGTTTGTGGATTTTTCAAATGGTGAAATTCCAAGTGAAGTAGTTGGGAGCCGATTAATGAGATAAGTGATCATTAGAAACACATCATCCCAATAAGCACGAGGAACACTGCTATGGGAAAAGAGTGAGAGTCCCGTTTCAACTATATGACGGTGTTTCCGTTCAACAGACCCATTTTGTTGGGACGTATGAGGACAAGTGACAAGATCTTGAATACCAATTGACACAAAATAGTTGTGTAGAAAGGGATACTCTCCACACCAATCGGTTTGGACAGATTTTATTTTGCAACTAAATTGGCGTTTAACAAGTTTTTGAAATGAGCAAAATATTTTCATGACATCAGATTTGTTGGTGATGGGAAATAGCCACGTAAATTTGCTAAAATGATCAACAAAAGACACATAGTATTTATTCCCAATTGTTGACATGACAGGGGAAGGTCCCCAAACATCAGAGAAAATTAATTCAAGTGGTGAATTTGAAATAGACTGAGAATTTAAAAAAGGAAGTCGATGTCTTTTTCCTTGCTGACATGCGGAGCAAACACCCGACAATTTATTTGACGAAATGGGAAGGGAAAACTTAGAGATGAGATGTCATACAGTCTGATAAGATGGATGGCCCATCTGACAGTGCCAAACATCAAGGGGAGCATGTTAAGATATGAAAGTCTGAGGATATCTTGTGGGAGTCACATTGGATGGAAAAGTGTAGAGTCCGTTTCTAGTTTTGCCGCACATCAAGACAGTCCCCGTTGCCTCATCCTTCACCAGAAAAAAGAGGAGTGAAATTCAATATAAACATTATTGTCACGGGTGAATTAACTCACAGAAATTAAATTTTTTTTAATCTATGGCACATGAAGTAATTGTTTTAAAGAAAATGACTTATTTGCTATTGAGAGAGTGGCAAAGCCAATTTTTTTAATGATTAAACATGTCCCATTGCCGACATGGATCTGATCGGTGCCATTGTAAGGTTCAGATTGCACATTGAGATTGCTGAAATCATTTGTGAGGTGGTTTGTTGAACCGGTGTCAGGATACAAGGTAGCATCAGTTGGTGACGAAGACGACATCAAGTAAGCTGCCATGTTGGAAGGGGTGCCTTGGTAGGCATGATCAAATCAGTAGTAGCATTGCACGGCTGTGTGCCCAGGTTTACCACATTCCTGACATGTAGGGCATGGGTTTGAAGAAGTATTCAATGGTTGACAAAAAGGGATTATAGATTCTTTAATCAAATCATTTTCTCATATAAACCCTAAAATAATACCCCATGTTGAATATGAGAAAATAACAAAACCACAAACATATCTTGATCCATGGATGTCAGATTGTTTGCGTGGATGGGTTATGATCTTCCAATTGATTGGTGATCTTCACTTGATTTTCACTATCTGTTGATGGGGATGCAGAGGATCTCAAGAACACAAACAAATGGGGATCATAACCATATTATATAATAGTAGTAACTCAATAGTCACTATCTTTCAGTTGCTTCAAAT